GTTATATATACAACAAAACTACATAATATATAAATAAAATAATATAATAACTAAATATATATATATAAACTATAAAATAATATAAATATAACTAAATATTATATAGTTATATTTATATATATATTGTAGATAGTTATTATATATAGAGAGTTAGTTTTATATATATTAGTTATTATTATTATATATATAACTAATTCTCTCATTTAAAGTATAATTATTACAAGAAAATGATTCTCCTATTATAAAAAAAGAAAAAGAAAAAGAAAAAAGGAAAAAATGAATCGTCACTGTCAGATAAATTCTAAAAAAAGGGCGAAGTATTATTATCGAAAGGGTGCGGTTATCGGTCACCCTCGCAATTCTTTCTTAGCTAGGTTAACGAGTTACATTACAAAAATAGATTATCCTTTCGTTTTAATTCGAGATGCCCTTCGACGAATATATCCACGAATATGTCGATCGTTAAACTCGAGATTTCATTATCGAACATCTGATGTATGCATGTATGCATGTATGTATGCATGCATGCATGCATTTTGGATTCTTTCGAATGATGCATTCCAGTTAAGGACGTTCCAAAAGTATCGAATAACCTTCCCACTCACCCCCCAACCCCACCCCCACCCTATTCAATCCCTCAAACCTTTCTCATCAGCTAATCTGCAATTTAATCCAACTCGAAACAAATCATTGAATTCAAACCAATCGAGTATTCGAATATATATATGTGTGTGTGTGTGTCAATGTTCAGTGTCCAATTAAAATCCACCTGCCTTGGTCATACATTCTATTCATTTTTTTTTTTTTTTTTTTTTTTTAATGAAAACAAAAAAAGAAAAGTAATTTTAATTATGTAATATCTTCGTAAAATAATGTTAACACGAACATTTTTTGGATGAAACATAAACGATTGCAATATACCTCGAATTTTTCCTATTTGGTTTAATTTTATTTTTATTTTGTTGTTGTTGATGTTGTTGTTGTTTAAATTTAACATCCACGACTTGTTTATAATGTCCTATTAAAATAAAATTAAAAAAATATATAAAACATAAAATTTTTTTTTTTTTTAAGGAAACATAAAACGATTTTCAATATTCCACGAATTTTGGCTTATTTTGTGTTTTTAAAATGGAACACCCTCGCGTTTCGTTTATTGTCCTAAAAAAAGAAATAAAATAAAATAAAATAAAACACAATTTTTTTTTTTTTTTTAATGAAACATAAAACGATTTTCAATATTCCACGAAATTTGGCTTATTTTGTATTTTTAAAATGGAACACCCTCACGATTCGTTTAATGTCCTATTAAAAATCTAAAAAAAAAAAAAGAACTACGATCTTAATAGATATTTTATCTAGAAAACATTGCACGTACGTATAGTCTCGATAAAATAAATATGTAGAAGTATATTTGGATCATTTATAAAGATGACCAAGCAGCATCGGTTGTTCTCATAACTGCTACTTTATTGCCGATCGAACGATCACGTATAGCACACAATACGTCGTACATATTTATCGGGGTGTCAACGAGCCATTATATCTCGTCTAACAATCTTCCTTTTCTCTCTCTTTTTATTTGATATTATGTACTCCGTCATAGTCTCTTCTTTATATTTCCTATCACGAAGTATTTTCCATTTATCAAAAATTCATATATATATATACATATATAATCAAATTATTGAATCGTTTAGAAAATTCATATCAATTTTATATTTTTAATAATAAATGATAAAACATTACATTCGTTTCTTTAAATTCATATTTAATAAACTTGATTAATTTATCAACAAAACAACAACAACAACAACAAATAAAATTGAAACAGTGAAAGTTGTTTAATACGTTCTGCGCAAGATGCAATGCGCAAGCAAGCGGGAAAATATGAAATTGAAATGAAATGAATTCTTTTTGTTTTTTTTTTTTTTTTAATCAAGATTATTCTTTATATGCAAACTCAACGAATATAGTCTTTCAACAAAGATGGAAAATGATGTCGTATGCACAATTAACTATAGTTTCATTTCATTTCTTTTCTTTTCTTTTTTCCTTTTTTTTTCCTAACATAACCAACCGATGATATGGTATCGTAAACATGCATTGTAATTACAAATTAGGTCATTATAATAAAGAGACCTCATTTTCAAACAAAAATGATTATATAACAAAGAGACAATTTAGTATACGTGATGTTTATTTCAAACAAAATGTGTTTGAATTTGATTTATTTTTTTATTTTTATTTTTTTATTATTTTTCCACGATACCTTTTAAACGATAATGTTGATCTTAAATCTTTCAAAAAAAAAAAAAGTACAAAAAAATAATAAGACGAGTATCAATTTGTTATTTTTTTGGAAAATATTTCTAAAAAAAAGATTATTAGAATAGTTTTTGGGTCAGTCAGTATTTCCATTGTTCAAGGTTAACTCGATAGAATGAAGCCGGTTTAAGTTGATTTACGAGTCTTTCGTAAGAGGATAAAAGACAAAACTTATGAGAGTTAGAACAAACTACGATCGATCAATTGATGATCTTCTCATTTTTTTTTTCATTTCTTCTAATATGCAAAATTACAAAATATCTGAAACAATTTCTTTTATCATGTCAAATTAGTTTCTTTTTTTTTTTTTTCAAAATATACAACAACACGTGCATATATCTATATATATACTATATACAGTAAATGCAGAATTGTATTTGCGTGTCTAGGTTCCGTGTGTGGGGGGGCGGGGGGTGTGGCTTGTCTGGCACGGTCAATTTCATAACAAATAATCGAATCAACGTCAAATTCTGTCTGCTATTATCAAAATATAATTAAAAAAAAAACACACACACACACCTAAATTAAAATTACAAATACGGATCGATATATTAGTCGTGAGTTTTCAACCCTTTGATATATTCTCGACATAAAAAAAAAAAGATATTATCTGTAAAAATAATCAAAGCTGACAAGCAACAACGACGCTCGTACTCGACCATCCATCCACCGATAACAAAATGACGAGATTGCAATATGGAAATGACGTCGTCATCGTCGTCGTCGTGTCATGGAAACTCTTGAATAATAATCGTTTAACATGTAACTAATAATACATACTCAATGCTTTCATTTAAAAACAATCATTTTCATTTTCAAACAAAATAGTCAAAAGAACATTCAAAATTGATATTGATATAGTTCATTCGTATTTTATGCTTTGTCATTCTCTAACTATTGCTAGTTTACAATTTTAAATAGATACTTCCATTTTGTGATACATCATTGTTAAAAGAATCATCAAAAATTCACAATTTAATCAAATATATTTAACATATATTTTACATTAACACAATAAACAGGAATTGATTTTCAATGTAATTAAATTAGAAAAAAAAAAAATGCATTCAGAATAATAATCATCGTCTTCGAGTTTTTACAATGAAAGCATTGTGCATATATACATCACACAAATATACATGTTCATATGTAGTTAGGATATGCACATGTTGGTGCATGCACATAGAAAAGAATTCCAGTTGATTTCGCTTTCGACGATGGAATATAATCGATCCGTCTTTGGCGACATAGGCCACAGCAGAACAGACACATAAGAAAATCAGGCGTCGAAGTGTGTTAGGTCAAAGCCCTAGAAAAAAAACGTCACTGACTCGACGAGGAGACATAGAGTAAGAGAGAAAGACAATCGGCGCATGTATAGTTTGACAAGATTGCAAATTAGACGAATATTTGATAGAGTTAGAAGTTAGACAAAAGCACGTGGTTTTCAACTAAGCACACGCGTTTCTAGTAAATCTCTCTCTCTCTCTCTCTCTTTTTCTCTAACTTTCTTTTCAGTGATAAACTAAAACTTACCATATTCGTGAATAGAAGATCTTTGCAAGGGTTGAATATACTGCGTAGTGTTATTTGCCGGTGTTACTCTGAAGCGTTCCATTCTTGCCGCGTCCCTACTACCCCTTCGTGTTGAGATATACTAGTAGTTGTATATAATTGTAGTAGTGTAGTAGTAATATCGTGGTAATGTTGGCAATGGTAGTTGTGGTGGTGGGTAGAATATTGGTTTTAAACAAGAAAACCAAAACTGTCTCGATTTGAAATCAATGATAGCGTTTAGATATATCTCCCCCACTGTCTCGTTTTATCTACCCTTTCAAATCTTCTTCTTCTTCTTCTTCTTCCACTTCCTTTTCTTTTTCTTCTTTTTCGAATTTACCAGCAGGAAATATACTCTCCGTTTTTCTTTCGATATCGAGCGGTGACGAGACGGCCGCAACACTTTCCTCCTCTACGACGATAAACGACAAAGGAGTTCTCCATTCGCCGATTCGCCTAATCGCACAGTAGATCGATTCGCCTTCGACCGACTACTACTACTACTACTACTGACGTTCTAGTATTCTCTCTATCTCTATCTCTTTCTCTACCTTTCAAACGAAGAGAGAAATAGAAATTCAAACCGAACAAAGAGATGGAAATAATTTCTTCTTTCGTTTTTCTATGTTTATCTATTATTCTCTCTAGCCATATCGCGTATGTAACTAACAATAATAATAACAATAATAATACAATTATTTCGTAATATCTTCGTCTCTTTTCGCGATTAAGTACGAACGATTACGAACGATTACGATAGAACGAAAAGGAAGCAACGACAATGACAATGACGACGACGACGACGACGACGATGACGAGTTTTCGTATACGATGATGATACACGCAAAGAGTCGGGCCTCTTTTCTCGTACTAACGAGGTCTAGCTGTAAGCGCGTGCTAAACGCACGCCGTTCGTTAACTCCCGCCGGACCTTCAGTGGTAAGGTGAGGTGGTGGGGAAGGAGGAGAGGATTCGAGATATACAACACAAACGTCGTTTTCCGTCGTCGTCGCGCGTCCTACGGTAAAGTTCGTATGATGAGTGACGAAGGACGGCGCGGAGAGAGAGAGGTGGATTCCCCAACGCCGGCAACGAGTCAAATGGTAGGAGGGAGGGGGAAAGTTACTAGGAGGGGTGAATATACACACAACACGACGACTACGACTACGCAACGACGACGACGACGACACACGACGCAACAACGATGAATGCGTTTTAAACGCTGCTCTCACTCTCACTCTCTTTCTTTATTTCTTTCTCTTTCTCTTTCTCTTTTTTTCTCTCTCTTTTTCTAGTTTGTTTATTTTTCTCTTTCCGTTGCATTGGACGCGCTACCCGCGACCAGACAACACAACACGCGACGCGCTCGTGGCTTTCCACCCAGCAGACGAGCCCGCCCGAGACTCGCCGAATCATTCCGAACATGTCCGAATACGCTCAAATGCATACATGAATGTATTTTAATACTACGAAGTGGGATACTTTCTAGTTCGATGATTCGTCGGTTTTGGAAGAGTGGGGGAGAAGCATACACGTGCTATATGCATTGCCGGCTTGTTAGTTTTTTGTTTGTTCTTTTTTTTTTAAAGAGCGGTGTTTTCTTTCTTTCTTTCTTTCTTTCAGGAATGCATTTCAAGGATGTTTCACGAAGCAATGCAATTTTTTTCAATTGCATCTGTTTAAAGATTTATCGTAGATCGTTGCATTGATAACGTTCTGATGGTTTCATAAGATAATAGGAATTTATTTGATTCATCAGATTCAATAATGTGTTTGTTTGTCAATGAAATTAATTATAATTTGTTCCTCCGTCGGTCATACATTAATTCGATCTAGATGGCAGCAGGATGCGGAAAGTTAGATACTTTCCCTATAGATTTTAATATATATATATATATAAATGTCACTGCAATTTACTTCTTGTTTAAATAATAATCATCCTTCTATTAGACGTGTACTACTCTAATCAATACTCATAATTTCTATCATAAATTTATCACACAAAAATTATACTTATCGACTGAGTAAACGTAAAGTTTGATGATAAAAATTTGAAAGGTCGCTTTTTCACGAGGTATTTCAGTTATCAATAAAAAAACTGGGCATGTCTCTAAGTCAACAAAGGTATGCATGCACTTTGTTGCAATTGGATCGAATATCGTAAAGAAAAAACAAAAAAAAAAGAATATTTGATAAATATTGAAAGCAAAAAAAAAAAAAAGAAAAAAACAATAAAAGAGGAGTACAACGAGGAATAGAGAAAGAAAAAAAATGATTCGTTGAAAGGAAATCTAGGAATATAAATAAAATTAAAAAAAAAAAAAATATATGATGACATTGAAAATCGAACATATATATATATATATATGTTTGTGCAATTTTTCACGATATTATATTTAGATTTACAAAGTTGACACTTGCTGCAACGATTCGCCGTTTAGACAACTCGATTTCGCTGGATTCTACTCGATTGCACTCGATAAATATTTCTCAATAAAAGTGAATGTGTGTGCATTGTTGTTTCGCAAACAATTATTACATACATGATCACACATTACTTTTTTATCTTTTTCTTTTACTTTTCGTGTATTTTAACCGAAACAGCTGATTACTTTCGCTTTTTTTTTTTTTTTTTAATCGTCTCGTCGTTAGCGGCTTCTCTTTGTTACAGGTAAGACAAATATCTAATATTTTTACTTTTATTAATATAACTTTTCTATTGTTTATAAATTTTACTATTAATATTATTGTAGATAATTTCAATACGTTTAAACGAATTAACAGCTATTCTTTTCAATTGCATTGCTTACCATTGAAATTAAACCAACGCTATGGAGTATTTTTTCTAGGTTAGGGCGTAACACTCGAGTTTAAGTTGACTTTTAATTAATTCATTATTGATGAATGTTAATTGATGTATATAAAAGGCATCTTTAATAATGACAATATTTAAAATTAATCTTTACAGTTTGTTAAACAACGAATAAGGCAAGTTTTACATCTTATCCTACAAATCGTACAAAAAGATTGTCAACAAAAAAAAACAGAATTATTTATTATCTATTTTAAAATATTAAACAATTGCATAATTATCAATTGTATCTAAAAATATGAATGTTAACAAATTGTCAAATGGTCTCATACAAAAAATAATTGCTAAAAACACAATAGTAACTTGAATGTTTTTTTTTTTTTTAGCGAATTTCTATAATTTTAACAATATATTTAATTATTATTTATTAATAATACCAAAAAAAAACAACAACAATAAACAAAAAAGTTACAAATAAAACGTCATTTGTTTCGATCGATTGTTCGTAAGAATTTCTGAAGATTCAAATAGCGCGCGGTTTCTCCACCGACTGTGGCGCCAGTGTGCATTTGCTATGACCAATGAAAAATAACAAAAACCCTAGGCTTACCTGTGCATAATTATGGTTATGGTGCATAACGGTTCTTAAAATTGATGCGTGATGTACGAATGATGATCATCGTTGATTAAAACGTTTAAAGTGGAAGATTGCAACGAAGTTCGTGAGTTGTGTTTATAATTTTTGTTTGTTTTTCTTTTTTTTCTTTTTTTTTTTCTTCTTCTTGTTGTTTTTCAAACACAATTCAATAAGAAAACATTTATTTATATCGTGATAATAATCGATTTTAGAACAAGCCAAGTCAGTAGCCAAAAGTGTTAATCATGGGTTCAAAGAAGCACAAAAAACATAAGCGCCAGAGGCACGAAGGTGAGATTCGGTCATCCGGTATGGCATTACAAAAATTACAAGGACTTTTTTTTTCACGATTATTCGACAACGACGCCCAAATTCTTATTGACGATTATATATATATATATATATTTTTTTTTTTCTTATCATTTCTCTCTCATTCTAATCTCCATATCGCATATGTTTTTTTTTCTTCTCTCGAACATACATATATATCTAATATATATATATATATATATATATATGTATATAAAAACGTACAATTTCATCGCACGTTTTTCGTGGTCTATCATGGTCTGTATTATTTTCAACTATCAAATAGAAATGTGACATTGTTTTTATCCATACAATTGTTCAAACATTATCATTGTAGCAAAGACAAAGGTACGCAGATAAGTTATTTTTATTGCACGATATGATATGATATCGTTAATAGTATCTGTCAATATCAGGGAATAATATCTTGTTTCCTTATTATTATCCTAATTATACAATATGATACACTTAACTTGATTACCTCGAACAACTTTTCAATTGTATTCTAACCTATTTTTTATTATAAATGGTTACTATATTAACTTTAGCAATCTCTTAATCATATCAGCTTATAATACAAGTCGTATCAACTGCAGTATGTTCTTCTCAATACTATTTCATGTTCAATGTACAATTGATAAATTATTCAAGGATAATCAAATTCAGTTAATCATGTTGTATATAATACATGAAAAGTTAACATTATAAATGTCTTAATTATATCAACTTATAATACAAGTCATATCAACTGCAGTATGTTCTTCTCAATACTATTTCATGTTAAATGTACAATTGATAAATTATTCAAGGATAATCAAATTCAGTTAATCATGTTGTATATAATACATGAAAAAAAGAATAATGTTATTTAATACATTTAATAATTACAAACTCGCACACCGTTCACTCAAGCACTTTGTTCACATTCGTTATCTTTTCTTACATGTTAATCGTTAACATTTTGTATATATCTGTCTTTTGAAATGATTTTTTGTACGATGTTGTTTCATTAAGATGTTATAATTATAAAGAGGAATAGAGAGAATTGTTTATTTGTATCATATAAGTATTACACACCATCTGAGGATTCGAATGAAAACATTCAACTGTAAATGATGGTGGTGTGTCTTTAAATGGTACACCTTTTTTTTTTATTTCCAAAAGGATAAGACAAAATTCTATAATTAATCTACGTGAAAAAATATAGTTGTTTCTTTTTTTTTATCTTTATTTATTTATTTTCATTGGAATCCTACTCGTACTCATAGTTAAAATGATGCACAGGAATTTTGACTGCGTTTTCACCAAGGACAAACTGAGAGAGAGAGAGAGAGAAAGAGAAAGAGAGAAAGAGAGAAAGAAAGAAAGAAAGAAAGAAAGAAAGAAAGAGAGTGAGGTTGGAGTAGAAGTGAGGTGGATTCAAAAGTATAAACGAAGGTTCCACAACGACAGGCTCGACGTGGAAGTAAGTGACGTGTAACTAAAGACAAGGACTGGTTGCACGACAGAAGCTAGCTGTGCTCCAAAGTTATTTCAATATATCCATAATAAACCTATTTTTCCACTTTTTGTCTATTAAAAACCAGTTGAAGCGCAACAAGATCTAAATATAATTAAACACATTATGGTTTCTCTTTATAAATGTTATGATAGATAACAAGTATTACTATATATATATATATGATAAGAAGAAAGTAAAAACCCTGTTGTTGCGCTTCAACCGCATAGTTACCCTGGCTGTTATGTATTACGGCATCAAAGACCGTATGTGCTTTGCTTTAGCCCTTTAAGAGGTATTTTCAATTTTAATAATTATTTTCTTTCTTTACTGTTTTCTTACAAAATTATAAGACAGTCGATGTTACAATGACAACTATTTGATTACATATGCATATATATATACATACATACATATATATGTATTTCTATTAAGATTTCATTTATTATTAGTTCAAATTGAGCTACTATTACTACTACTTCCATCTCGCTTCCAGTTTGTTTAATGTGAAAACAAGGTCACTATCCTGTCATAAAATCATCTCTGTATATAATTATTAGAATGAAAACCCTTAATAATCCTATTTTTAATACTCTACCCGCCCCCTGCCCCCTGCCCTGCCCTGCCCTGCCCCACCCCTTGTAGAAATTCATTAATTATTTACAATCGCACTTTAGTTTTTCTAAGCTCCTCTCCTATTGAAACTATACAACGAGACATATAGAAAATATTTATGCTGCTAAAAGTTTATGCTATTACTATCCTTGCACTTTGATTGTTTTCTTTAAAACAAAAAGCACCATATTTTTTTGTGCATGCATTAGATATATATATTTCATTGTCAAATTTCTAGCTTTTACGTTAGAGCTTTTTTTTTTCTTCTTCTTCTTCTTCTTCTTCTTCTTCTCGAATGCCTCATTCAATGTCTTATTGTTTGCATTTTATTTACTGATTATCTATTTTGTCAACAGAAGGACAATATACGACAACGGACAAACCGCCTACTTTAAAATTAATTTTGAAGGTAGGAGGAAGCAGTGGGACTCCGGAATACGCCAACGAATATCCAAGCCAAGGAACAATGTTATCTCAGCACTACCAACAACAGCTAGGTGTTAATTACTCGGTGACACAAGGAGATTCAGAATATGATAGGTACATGGGTCACAAGAAGCTTAAAAAGAAAAAGAAGAAAAAGGATAAACGACACAAACATCATCACAAAGATAGAAAGAGAAAGAGAGAAGAATCCAGTCAAGAATCTGTAGGTGATGCTGATGAAGGTTTCGTCGAGGTACCTAAAAAGATTCCAAATCAACAATTGTTATCTCCTAGACCTCTTTCGAGCAATGAACCTAGTAGAATCAATGTTGCTAATCAAATTAGTTCACTTTCGCCACATCGAGAACCAAGAACTTGCGTTTTAAGAAAAATAGCGGAACGTACTCCTTTACAAAGATTATTGGAACATTTGTTAAGGTCAATGGAAAAACGTGATCCTCAACAATTCTTCGCATGGCCAGTGACAGATAGTATAGCGCCTGGTTATTCACAAATAATAACCAATCCGATGGATTTTAGTACTATTAAACAAAAGATAGATGATAATAATTATCAGAATTTAAATGAATTTATAGATGATTTTAAACTAATGTGTAACAATGCAACTACGTATAATCATCCAGATACTATTTATTATAAGGCTGCCAAGAAATTATTACATGTAGGATTGAAGATGGTAACTCCTGAAAAACTGAGACAATTAAGACCAGTATTAACTTACATGCATGACATTTCCAAGGAAGAACTTGGATTTGAATTAGGAGTTGAAGATCCTAATAATCCTGATGTACTTGTTACCGAAGAACAAATTGAAAGGGAAAGAGAACAGGAGGAAAGGAATGAAGAAGCGGAAGAACTTCGTAAAGAAAATCAACGAAAAATGAGATTGGCGAGTTTAGGTAAATTCGAAGCTATTCCGGATGACCTAACGCCGGAAGAAATTTTGAAACAAGCACGTGGAGCAGCTAAAGCAGCTTCTGACAAATTAAGTCTGAAACGTCTCAACACCAAAATGGGATTTTTAAGACAAAAGAAAGATGGAACTACGAGTTTGCAAATAATTGTTCCTGGAGATGGTGTTATACCTGGAACTAATCAAAGACCTGTATCATTAGGACAACTTATAGGAAAATTAAATCATGGAACTGGAGCCTTAGCTGGTTTCAGAGAAGACAGAAGGAATATGTCAAAACCAGTTAAATCATTGTACTATGGACCATTTGGGTCTTATGCCCCAAGTTACGATTCCACGTTTGCCAATCTTACTAAAGAAGAAACTGATCTTGTCTATCAAACGTACGGAGATGAAACTGCTGTTCAATATGCAGAATCTATTCTTGATTTTGCCAAAGACTGTGATTACACTTTAACTATGGTCGATGATTTATTAGATATTCTAACTAATGGTGATCATAGAAAAACGAAAAAGTTACTCGAAGAAAGGAGAAGAATTAAAGAGGAAGAGGAGAAGATCAAACATTTGTTAGAAAAACCTATGCAAGATTTAAACAAAAACATTCCATCATTGGAGAAAGTTCGAGTAGATATTGATCAGTTGAAAACATTATCTGAATTGGGAATTGATATGAACTTTTTGGAAAAATTAGGTAATTATCTTATCTTATCTTATCTTATTTACTTGTAATTATAAAATCATTTCTATACTTTATTCGTTATCTTAATTACTGATATATATATCATTTATATGTTTCATATTTCTTTGAATGTTTTAGAAGAGGAATTAAAATTCAGCGAGGATCGTGCAGCTTTACAAAGTCGTTTAGATGATACTTCGCAGATGTTGGGTCGTTTGAAACAAGTACAACACGATCGTCTCTCAGCTCCACCACCTGCCCATTTATCGAACGTTCCTAAGGCCTCGGAAAGTGAAGTTGCCCTAGCCGGCAAGATTACCGATAATCTTACCGAGATAGCAAAGAAACTTCCACCCTCAGCTATTGCACCAGTTGATGGATTACGTCGTGCTATGGGCATAGCACCACTTGGTGGAGCCGAACCAATGGAAGTTGAACCAATTACTACACATAATCCAGCAATAGTTGCAGAAAATACGTTGTTACAACAACCAACAAATGGCAATCAAGTACCCACGAATCTTTTACCAGCACCATCGCCAATTCCAAATACGAGTTTACTGAGTCCTAACAGTCAACAAAATCCAACGATCAGTATTGTCAATCCAAATCAAATGCAAATCGGTGTTACGCACAATCAAACGTCCCCTCCTTTGTTGAGCACGTCGGAACCATCGGGTGTTCCCGATTTGGAATCTGAACTTCGAGAGTTTTTGGAAAGCGATCCTACATTAGGACATTCACCCTTACATGACGATAAAACACTCGAGGATATATTATCGGAATCATAGTATTTAACTTAACTTTTAATTCATTATAAGATATAGATTGTACATTTTATTATATCTATATATATATATATTAGAATATATTAGAATGATTTAAATCTTATATTAAATAAATACTTACTGCAAGACTTTATTCTAGTGTCTTTGTTATTTTATGCTGACACACACATATATAGATATATATATATACACGATTAACTGATACAATTAATAATCCTTATCGTAATTGTTATTAATTTATTTATCATATGATTTATATCATTGATCACGAATACATTGTCCTGTATATATTTGTATGCCAAATTGTACAATATTTCATTTTACACAATAATTCATTTAATTATACAATAACAAATTGTTATTTCAATATTTCATTGTCATATAAATCTTTCATTTGTGTAGTCATAATATTATGTTATAAAAAGTCTAATAGAAAAATGAAAAAGAATAAATAATTCATATATTTTTTAAATTAAATTAATGAAGAATTTTCTGTTTTTTTTTTTTTTTTTGAATTAATGAAGAATTTCCTTTTATACCAAAAATAAATAAATAATTTACAAAATTGCAATTAATTCTCTTTCGTAACTAACGACTCCTATTATATAATGGGTCGTACGAGCAAAAAAGGTTTCCTCTACAAAAGGAACAAAAAAAAAATTAAAAAAAAAAAAAAAAATTCAATTATATATTCGTTGAAAGATGAAAAATTTAATTAACGTGGAAATTAATATTCTCTGTCTTTCTTTTTGACTTACTTAAAATATAGAGAAATAATGTGGTCAATCGAATCGTAGAAATGGACTCGACCATTTTACCAAGAGGCATGCATATATCTATGTGTATGTGTGTGTGTGTGTGTGTATATATTCTACATATGTAATACATATGTTAGTATTTCGCTGGAAGGTATTCGTACAAGCTCATGATTAATAAAACGTATCTGCTAGCGACATTTCGAAATAGCTTTCTGTGTCTCTTTAAAAAAAGAACTGCATTATTAAATGAATATATGTATATGTATATGTATGTATATATATATATAACGAAATATGTATGAGTTATGTGAAAAAGATTTTAATATACAGGGGTGTACACCATACCAGTTAAAACAGGTCACTTAAAAAAATATTTTGTTCGTTTGTTTGTTTTGTGTTTTTTTAATGAAATATACAAATGTTTAAGACATATACTTTAATTAATTATAACAAAACAATGATTATATTTTTAAATAATAATTTTCGTTCTTACATTATAACATGTATCAGATGTTGTAAGTAAATTTGTATCAATTTAAGTGAATATGAATACCAAAAATGTGTTTGAATCGTAAGACAATTGAGAAATCTTACTTATCTTGAATTAAGTTGTTCGTAAAAAGAAAAGGGTTGTTGTAAATTCTTGTATATTTGTCATTTGCCATTTAGATTCTTTGAACAATCGTTCTATGAACGAAAAACTAATCTTCCGTACGAGTAGTCAAAGCGTCATTGATCGGACACGCAAAGTAAAGTGGATTGCTAGTAGTCGAGGTGCCTCTGTAGTCAGACAAGTGAAGAAGATATACGAATGTCGTTAAAACCTAGTGCATACGCTTAAATACATTCTTTAATAAAAAAAAAAAAAAAAAAAACAGGAAAAAAATATTTAAAAAATATACTACATAAAATAGAAACAAAAAAATTGCAAAATGAATAATGTTAAAAATAGAAACACAACAAAATACCATTCGATTAGATTTCATTGAAAGGTTCTTTAACCAATTAAGTGCATACGACGTGCTGTGGCTCACAATCAGTCCCATACACACGTCTTTAAGTCAACTTATATCGCCATCTGTTAGAATCTTATTAAATTAACAGAGATAATCATCACTCTTTGTTAATAAACTGAAATAATTTGCAATAAATTGAGATAAAAACTATCCTATCTTTCAAGTTAGATGAAACTGCACATAATGTGCAAAATTTGATTAAAATCAGTTCAGTAGTTTAGGAGTTTATTGCGGACAAACAACGTGACACGTGATTCATATATATTAAGATGTATTTTATTTTTTTTTTTTCACAATATTCAAGCTTTTAGTAAAAATAACGTATTCAAAAACGAATTAGTTAGTTTTTTTTTTGTTGACTTTGAATAAAAATATAATTCTTCCTCATTTTATCGTAAAATATATAACAATAATAATAATACAATTTGCCGTGCGTTCGACGTGTATACACGTCATTTGCTTATTTTTAATGTCAAATTAAATTTCACAGTCAACTGGTTAATTTATATTCTTGTACAATATTTCAATTCAATTTTTTGGTTTATCTTTTTTTCAAATAAAAAATAAATTACGATCTGTGAACAAATTGACATATAACGACGTGTTTTTTAGGTGTGTCCTTAAACCTGTGAAGAATGATTTTACTATCCCCCTTTCATATTTGAATTTACGATCAACTATATCCGTTGAAAGACTACGGTATATTTCCCACGTAATAGTGCAATAAAGTTTACTTAAACACATTCGTATGTATCTATGTATATATATATATATATGTATATGTAATCGTTACTACTTATGACATTATTGCTGCTTACTTTGGTCGTCCTTCCTTTTAGGAAATTAGAGAACTTATCCGATTAAATCTTGCCGATGCACTTAGTATTAACATGCTTTATAATAATCCGTTTATCGTTAATGTAAATTAATTATTAAAGAAATTCTTTTTAAAAGACAGTATTATTCAATTTGACAAAAGTATTAAAACATTTTTCCTTTTTTTTTTTTTAATACGCGATCAAACTTTACTTGATAATTACATACATAGTACATACACAAATAGAGATCTCATAATTACGTGCGTATTGTATTAATCGCATGTTAATTTGTAGATACAATTGAAGATTCAAATATTTGATTCTCTTCTATTGATGTTTGAAATACTTTTGTAAATTTTTAGTAATTTTTTTTTTTCTTTTTTTTTTTTATTTAATAGGATAAAATTTCAAGGATGATTATAACGCGTATTTATTTAGTCAAAAGTGTTCTTCCCGAGTAGTTTAGTTGAATTTTCATTATTGCAACTAGATTTTCGTACATAAACTCGATACCTACCTCTAGAGATTTTATAGAATGAAAAATGCAAATACCTGTTCATATATATACGAAGGTATATCTACCTAATTGATATTTATTATTCATAGGTATTTGTATTTGATTTAAAGCTGATTTTATTCAATCAAAATATTTCCCCATTTTTTTTTTTTTCAAAATAAAATGAAATAAAAATAAAAATATATATTTCCCTTTTTCTTTCGGAATCTTCTTCTTCTTCTTCTTCTTCTTCTTAGGATTTTGTTCTGTTATTCCTAACTTCACAACCTAAAAAGGCTATTTTGTTAGTTCCGGTAGCGATTATCTTTTTTTATTTTTATCGAGGTTAGGTTGCTACCCTCACCCTCGAACCCTCCTCCTTTATCTGGCTTTTTGTTGCAATGTTGCATTCGTAAACAACTAGGTTTTTATTACATGAATTATTTTAATAAAATAATTAATTAAATTATATAAAAAAAAGAAACAAGAAACATTTGAACATAACCTAACCTTTTTATCTATACAACAACGTCATATTTTTGGTGTGTCACGTGTTATTGGATTGTTCGAAAAGTAATTTCATTTTTTTCTTGACACAATAAAAACATTAATTAATGCAAACTGATAAATAACAGCACGTGAGATCGTTGACAAGTTAAATTTATCAAATTCAACTGTTTATGATCATTTAAAAGGCTTAACTTTTAGGTTAGGAAAGTGATAATTGTCTTCATTTTTACAAAAAAAAAAAAACAAAATTACTTTTCGAACAATCCAATATAATAATAATAATAATAATCATAGTTTCACATTTAACGTTGTAACATGTTCAAAAAAAAATTGCTAGACGAAATAATCGTTAAAGTATTTTATCAAGAAAAAAAAAAAAACGTCAGACAATCTATTTTTCAACGATTGGATAAGCTTCAGATGGCTTGTCTTCCGAGTTTATCGTTCACGTTAGAAACAGCTGCTCCTTTTCTACGGTTTAAAAAAAAAAAAAAGAAAAAAAAAGATAAAACCAAGACTAAGGTATGATCAATGTTAAGAGAAAATGACAGAATAAAAGGGGAAGCTAGAGTAAGACAAGATGGCGTTTTTTTTTTTTTTTTTTTTTAAAAAGACAAAAATAAAAACGAAGAAGAAGAAGAAAAAGAAGAAGAAGAAGATGAAGAAGAAGAAAAATGAACAAACGAATCCCATAGGATGGGAAGTGAGGTTAAAGGAAGTTTAATGGGAATGAATCCAAGTGAGGGGATGACTGAGA